CGATCTCGTTGGGGTAGAGGACGACGTTGTCGGTCTCTTCCTTGAGAATGTGGCGAGCGGTTGCTGCCGGCAGCATGAGCGCGAGGGCGGAGGCCTTGGAGAACTTCATGATTGTTGCGATTGTTGTGAGGGTGCAGCTATGTGATGATGATGTAAAGTGGTGGAGAGGGAGGAGTCGTCGGCTCAGAGGATGCGGGCCATCAGTCACTCGTCATGGGGGGGGGGGGCGCAAGCTCGAGGCAGCTAGCCTGCACGCGTGCTCATGTGCTCGTGCTCTGGCGTTGCTTCGTAACCGCCGAAATGGTGGGTCTCAGCTTTTGATAAGAGGCGATAAGACGGGTGTGCCTGGCATCGATGTCATCGGAAACGTGGAGGTGCAGTCGGCACCTGCTGGGGTTGCTAAGCACCAACCACCTTGGGGTCAGACGAAACCCAACAGCGGCTGGTGCTAGCAGACTGGTGTACTAGCCATCAATGTGTGCTGATTTTATGTTCAACCAGGCCACCCAAACAGGTTGATCGCTTTGGGAAGGCGGTCGCTTTGAATACCGCTTCGACTGTATAGCTCAAGTCGGTTCAAAGAACTCGAAGGACGATGCGAGCTTGGTCTGTGAAGGCCAAAGCTTCTGCTCCTCTGCTTCTTCCTCCTTAAAGCTGCTATCCGAGGATGAGGAATCTCGGGATTTAAACCGAGCTCATAATGAACTTGTACTCTGGAAAAAAAAAAAAAAAATGACGCCAAGCTATCCAAGCACTTGGTTCAGGGGCAGAACCTGATCCGGATCCGGAGAACAAGAACAAGAACACAAAGAAAGGCCTGCCACTCATCTCCTCAGTGGCCTGAAAGAAAGAGAGTCTCGCGTTGCAACCAGGGAACTGAGAGGGCCTTGCTCTGTGGGGTTGCAATTCAGCATGCTGGCTCCACTCACAGCAGGGTTCCTTACAGAGGGTGGCCTGAACTTATTGTCGAGCCTGCCATTGGACAAAGCCACGGGAAGGTGCTGGGTAGGTACAAGGGGTGGCTTGCTGAACTCTGGACGAATCAAGATTAGCCTGATAAACTTGCTGACTACAGCAGCATCATTGGCAGATCTGGGCAGCCCATCTGCATGGTTCCTGCAACCGGTCGTCAGTATTGTGGAAGTCGACCTCTTCCCCCCCCTTCACCACCCTGTCCAAGACGGCTTCGAACCTTGGCACAAGCGAGCTCGCTAGGCTGGTTCGGTTTTCTTCAGTCTTGCTGCATACACGCTGTTGATATGCCTTGCTAATTCTTCTCGCAATACTTTGCTTGTTGCTTAGGTATCTACCAACGACACAATGGATGCCCTCTACCTGGCACTCGCGCCACAACATTCGCTCTCAACACCATCCCCCCTCTCAGTCCAACCATGACCACCGCCGTTCCGACCGCCGATGATGGAGTCCCTTCTCCGTTTCTTGGCCTCCCGAGGACCCCCACACGGCATCTACGTAATTGGGTCAACAACCGGTACCCCCGGAGTCCGCCCCGCAACGAGTCATGGTCGCGCCTCGGCGGCGTCGCCGTCTGTCCCACCCCCATGTCACATTGCTAGCCAGCTGCACACACCCGCGCTTTGTTCGGCGACAGAGTCGCATTTCCCTCATGGTTTCCCTCCTGTGTCTCATCGGGCAGCCTGTCGTGTGCTCGCCTGCCAGCCCTGTCGACGGCGCTGCTGCATGCCAGCTCTTGGAGGACCGCCGGACCTCAACTTCGTGGACGCCAGGCTCTGTGGAGAGGAGCGGGCCCGCTGCTCGTATCAACAAGCGTCGACAGCAGTGATGAGGCCCCGCCGATCTTGCCTGCGCGTGGAAATCGCTCTCGATTGTTGGGTCCCATTGAGTTTTCTGACGTTTGCTCCCACTTGCTGGGGGATTTAAAGAGCTCGCCTCCTGCCTGTTGATCCCGTGGTGAACTGCTCCTCACCCTGCCTTGCCACTCGCAGCTACCTCTTCTCGCTCCTTGAGACCCCTCGTCAACTCTTCAAGATGAAGTTCACCTCCAGCTCCAGCCTTCTGGCTGTCCTCGCGGCTACTATCTCTTCCTCAGAGGCCTCTCCCTTCCAGGGCTGGGGTTGGCCGTCTCCTGGTGGTCAACCTTGGGGCCAACCTTGGGGCAAGCCTTGGGGCAAGCCTTGGGGCAAGCCTTGGGAGCAGCCGCAGCCCGACAAGGGTACGGCCCTTACTCACTGGCCAAAGCAGGCCGCCGATATCCTGAACGCCATGATCCGCGCCAATGCTCACCAGGGCAACTACGCCGTGTTCGACATGGACAACACGTCGTACCGCTTCGACCTTGAAGAATCGCTGCTGCCGTTCCTTGAGAACCGTGGCATCATTACCCGCGAGACGCTCGATCCGTCTCTCCACCTGATCCCGTTCAAGGATACGCCTTCGCACAACGAGACGCTCTTCAGCTACTACTACCGCCTCTGCGAAGTTGACGACCTCATCTGCTACCCCTGGGTCGCGCAGGTCTTCTCAGGCTTGACGCTGCGTGCCCTCAAAGGCTACGTCGACCAGCTCATGGCCCACAACGGTACCATTCCCGCCACCTACTTCGAGGGCGACGTCGTGACGCCCATTGCCATCAACCCGCCCAAGCCCTTCCGTGGCCAGCAGGAGCTCTTCAACCGCCTGATGGAGAACGGCATTGACGTCTACATCATGACGGCGGCCTCAGAGGAGCTCGTTCGCATGGTCGCCTCGGACCCCAAGTATGGCTACAACGTGCCGGCTAAGAACGTCATTGGTGTCACCATGCTTCTCGCCAACCCTGCGGACCCCTCGAGCCCAACCACGGCCCGCAAGCAGATCGAAGCCGGAACGTATGACGAGAAGGCCAACCTCGACTTCACGCTGACCCCCTATCTGTGGACACCCCTTACCTGGATGGCAGGCAAGCACGCTGCCATCCTGACGTACATCAGCCAGTGGAAGAAGCCCGTCCTGGTTGGCGGCGACACGCCCACCAGCGACGGCTACATGCTCTTCCACGATGTCGACGTTTGGAAGGGCGGCGTTCGCGTGTGGGTCGATCGCAAGGCGAGCTACCGCACCCAGATTGACGGCATGATCAAAGACAACGCCGACCAGCAGAGGAAGCTTGGTCTCCCCGTTACCGCTGACCAGAACTGGATCAAGGTGAAGCCCGAGGAGATTCTGTAAACGGCGCGTCTGTGTATGAAATGCAGAACGTGCACCGATGCGACCTGTCCTGGTCCGACCCTGGCTGGGAGAGTGCGCTCTGCGTGTGATGCAATGAGGACGTGAAAAAATGGGGGACAGCCGTCCGGGCGTGGTTTGACTGGCTACGAGATGAGATGATACCCAAAAAGACCCGGATACAGCGCTCGACAGTGACGCGGCCAAGACGACAGTAGGTCGCACGCCTTGATGACTACCAGTACACGGCAGGGATCCCCCCGGAAACGGGGCACTGCATGGAACAAAATGCACGGCAGCAAAAACAAAATAAAAAAAATCCCCTTAATTCTTAATCATGTAGCGCTCTATCTGTCACACCGGGGCGTCTGGTTCGGTGCATGGCCCAATTTGGATCTTAAAGATGGAGGGGGAAGATTCTCGCCAGAAGCTCGCCCTGCCGAACTTCCGCCGCCTACCCTGATTGCCGACTTAGGCAGCGTGGTTTTTTCAGCAGGGGTTGTTCGTCCTTTTGTTTCTTTCTTCCTTTGCAATTTGAAGTTGATTGGGGAAATGTCACCTGACCAAACAAAGGCCTTGTTCACATACTTGGGTTTGAGGCAATTGGCACACTGAGTGAAGCATGGTGGTCGCTTTGGCTAGTCTCCCCGAGGTAGAAAGGGACAGGAGCCCCCCCCCGACGGATGGATGACGGCCCAGGTATGTATTCGGTACACGACAATCAACGCGAGACTGACAGTATTTATACCTCCGGGGCTACCGTGCTTTGGGCTTTTGATTGTGGCCTGGTCACACACCATTGTGCTTGCAAGACTGCTGCTGCTGAGCTTCCTACGGCAACTATGCCCACCCTGCCATGCCCCATGACTCGCTGGCCAAGGCAGAGAGAGAGAGAGGCCTCTGTTCCTGCCGCGGCCATGCCGAGGATGACAGATGCGTCCACCCATGACGAAGCCCGTGTACATGCACGACGCCCACGCCCCCCCTTCCCATCACGCGCCGTGGGCCTTCTGAACGACAAACGCGGCGGCCGCCGTGGCGTTCGCGCCGTACGTCAAGTGCGCGACGGTGATGAAGCCGCCGCTGCAGACGGCGTCGTCCTGCTGGCAGAGGATCAGGGTCTTGCCGGCGGCGCCGGTGACGGGCGCCGGGTTGCGCGGGTCGCCAAAGGTCACGACCGAGCTGACCTTGGCATGGTGCCGGCGGGCAACGCCGGCGGCGGTGGTGCGCACGACGAGGGCGCCCTGGGAGTACCCGGCCATGACAAATCTTGGTGTCTGGGCACCGGGGTCGCCGCCTGGTTCGACGAAGGCCCGTCCTGTCCACCAGTTCGCGTCAAGCCGTCTCTGCCAAGTTTTGGTGGCTGTCCTTTTGCCGAAGTTGGCCGTCTTGACCAGGTCCCCCCGTCTTGGGCCCCGCCGCGCGTTCCGCTGCATGGTTTTTGCTTAACATGCTCGGCACGCCGTCCGTGCCATTCCTGTTGAAGCCCGGCAAAAGGTGGCCCGGATACGCGACGCCCTGGACGGCGAGGGTCTCGGCGCCGAGCTGGTCGCGCAGGGCGTCGAAGAAGGGGGGGCCGGCGATGAGGCCGACGGAGCCGGGCTCGGTCGTGCCGCGCGCGAAGACGACGGTGACGGCGGCGCACGGGGCCTCCTGCGCGAGGTCCTCCCTCGTCGTATCGATGCCGGCGGCGGTGGCGAGGCCCTGCTGCAGCGGCGTCAGGATCTTGGCGACGGCGTCGAGGGCGCGCTCGCCCGTCGGCAGCGAGCTGATGATCCGGAGGAACTGGTTCAGCGGGCCCGCGGGGAACTGGCCGAGGCCCGGGGGTATGTCTTGCCGCGGGGCGAGGGCGGACGCGTCGGTGCGCTCCAGCCACTCGCCGGCCGTCATGGCATCGGCGGCGGGCGAGGGCAGGCCGTGGGTCCGAGTCACGAAATGGCAGGCTAGGACGCCGAGTGCGATGGCCACACGGCGGATGCTGCGTATGGGCGACGTGTGGAACATGGCGAGGATGGCGTTCTCGGTCGGTGGATGGAGATGGCAAAATGCAATCTTGTCAGCAACTCTGCGGTGAGCGGTCTACTGTCGTGTGCCTGTCCTTTGGGCGTCCTCCATCTCTTCTCTTATACGCCTCGCATGGCAGCGGGGCAGGCGCCGAGGTCTTCGATAATGCGTGTCATGCTCTCCTGCTGCCCTCAGAAGGAGGAAATCGTGTTCGGTTGCCTCTTCGGCAGTTGAGGGCCACCATCCTCAACCTTCGGTGGGAGGGGGGGGGGGGAGGGCTGAGTTGCAGTGTTGTACTGTTGCATCGCAAGGTATTTCCGAATCGGGCCATAAAGGAGTGTGCGTTAGGGTTGCTGCGAGCGAGGTCGATCGGACAATACTGCCCATGCGGGATACGATGTTGTCTCATATGGTGGTATCGAGGATCTACCGAGAGCCCAGACATGTGAATTCGCGGGGAAGTGACGTAGCAGGGGGCATGGTCTGTCTCTGGAGTGAAAGTGCCGAGGGATGCCTGGTGGAGGATTCAACCCAAGGGTCTGATCACAGGGAGAGAGGATGAGGTGAGGTTGCGTTTTCTTGGGCGTCGTGTACAGATGGTTGCTGAGGACCATTTGACCGCCATTGCATTTACAGAGGTGGAAGGCACAACATGAGCGAGGGGGTATCGGGAAGGCACTGACTTGGGGCCCAGGACAGGCCAAAATAAAATCTACAGCAGGCAGCCGATGGAATTGGACTCAAATAGTGCCAAATGGTGGTATGGACAGGATCCTCAAAAATACGTGAAAACAAGAAGTAATCTCGTATGAACAGCAACATTGCGAGTTACCTTGGTGTTGAGCGCAAACGTGCAAAAAGTATGAACTCCCCGACACAGGATCGAACTGTGGATCTCCCGATTTGCCAAATTAACAGTCGGACGCCTTAACCAGCTGGGCCATCAGGGACTCATGCCAGAAGAAGACGCTGTGAGCTACATGTGGTCTGCGCGCAACGAAGGACTAGCGTCGTTAGGTGTGGGTGCTTGTGGAGCCGGAACCACCTTGGCCACGGCCGATGAACTGACTGCGAGTACGTACCTCTTACCTCTTACCTCTTACCTCTCTACCGTACCTACTCTCTACTCCCTACTCTCTACTCCCTACTCTCTACCCCTACCTCTCTAGGTACCTAGGTGAGGTAGGTACCTAGGTGAGGTAGCCGAAATTCTATCTACTCCAACCATGTTTATCACTATTTCTTTCCCATCAACAGGCGTGTTCCTCATCGTTGATCCATGTCTTTCACTCCCATTGAGCACAGGCACAGCATACGCCGATGATGGATTGAGTTTTCGTTTTCGGAAGAGCGGCTCGCCGAGCACCACCACACGAGGACCCCTATGACGGAACGAGGCCGAGAGGTCGCTGTGCATCTCTCTCTCTCTCTCCACCCTCCACCCCTCCTCACCTTAGCCTCGCCCACTCTTGAGGAAGACCATCAGTACAAGAGACGTTGTCCATCGCGGCATCGAGCGCCAAGTGTCAGCTGTCATACATGGTTACAGTGAGCGTTCTCACACAGCACACGATGCGCTGCGAGACGGTCATGGCGGGATAATCATGGCTCGATTGAACATGGAATGTTCGGTAGGCACAGTGCTCCGACAGTAGCCACGAGGAACGTTGGCTCCAAGACAGAGACCTGCGTTGAGGCATGCGTCTCTTGGCCATGTCAGCAGGTCCCGCTGCGTTGCAACGGACCACCGACGGCCCAGCGCCATGATGCGAAGAGTCCGCGATCGATGACTTCACTCGACGCCGCGCGTGGTGTCCCCCCCCCCCCCGCAGTCGGCATTCCCCCATCCCCAACACCCGGCGTACGCTACCTAGGTACCGGACTGTCTAGCTACTTGACTGACCCCGAACGCATCCCTCGTCCCCCTTGGTCCTCGTCTCTTCACCCATTCTCTATCACTGCACAGGCAACAACATGGCCGACGCGACACACGAGGCTGAGGGCGCCGGCCCAGACGCCAAGCCCGCGCGCGACCTCATCAAGCGCGGCGTCAAGCGTCCCAACAAGCTCGGCACGCTGACCTTCGTCGGCCTCCGCGCCCTCGACGTGCCCCTGCAGTACAACCTCCTCG